CATAATAACGTAGGGTACAGAACTACTTCGGCCTAATCGCCCGTTTTGGGCCTATCGAGCAGAAAACTTCAATAGAAATCCATTATTTCAGAGTTCGTCAATTCAATTATGCATTTGGTACGATACTTTAGTTAATAAGCTACGGAACGAAGTCAATGAGAACACGTGATATGAAGGTTTGCACCCATTATTCCCAAAAACAAAAGAAGCGCTCCGACCGAATCAATTTTTATCTTCATTCTTTATTCTTTATTTCCATTTCGTCAAGCCAGTGTAGACTACATACAATTATTATTACAATGTTTAATCTTCATCCGATAGGCCGAAGTGAATTCATTGGCGTTTCAATGCGCTAGGACGAGTTTAGAATCCGTAGGCCGAGTTTGGTGTCAAGAAGCAGTGTTAGACTTTTGACAATATCTCAACGATTGGTTTCTCTTTATCAAATCTTACGGTACATACGGAAAGGTAAATAAATTTGGAAGCCATCAGTAATAATAACATTCCGTTTGGTGCTAAACTCCGCTAGATAAAGAAGGACTAAGTGCGGGTTGTGCTTAATAGGCCGAACATGGGGTAGTTAACCCTATAATGACTTCATAATTCCGAAAAAACATGTTTCCGGGCGGAATAAGTTTCATCAAGCCTTATGATGGTACACAAGATGGGTCGCAAGTTTATATAAAATTTAAAGTGTGGTTCGCAATCAGGGAAAGACTGAGATTTAAGAATTCTGAAGTAAATTTTTCATAAATAATGCCAATTTAGAATTCTGTACTATCTAATAACTATTCCTTCGAACTTTTAGGCAGTTTGGATAACAATTTAGCCAACGTATAAGATACTTACCACAGACAAACAGACATAAACATTGAATATTTCTCACTGTAAAACATCGTCGTTAAAACATTACCGCCCTCTGTTGAGTACACTGTGGTGGGTAGTACGCTGAACAGATGGCGGTAGTGTGGAAACGTCAAACGCAAGGGAATTGACTATGTGCGCCACAGGTGGCGGTACTACCAACTAAGATACTTTTAAATTGACCGATAAATGCTTGTTCGATGAACATCTTGCGAGTGTTACGTCTGTTTGTCTGTATACTTACTTTACTTTTGCTGATCCGACGTCCCTCGGAACCTAACCTGTATAACAAGTTGCGCCAACTAACTCGGTCCCTGGCTGCTTGTCTCCAATTTCTCGAGCGTCCCACACTTCCTACATCTTACTTCACTTGGTCTAACCACATAGCACGCTGTGCTTTTCTGCGTCTTGTACCGGCCGGATTTGAGGAAAACACCATTTTTGCGGGATTGTTGTCCGGCGTTCTTACAACGTGTCCCGCCCATTGTACCCTTCCACTTTTAGCGACTTTCTGGATATTGGGTTCGCCATAAAGTTACGCCAGTTCGTGGTTCATTCCTTAATAGAGCTGGAACTAGGGCGTAACAGCTTTTGTAATCAATGACTTCTCTCGATGATTTCGCGGAAGTCATGGCTCTCCCAGGCGAATCGACATCACCATCGATTAGAGAAAGACTTCTACTACCCGATGGATATGTTGGTTTGTGTAGGCGTGTCTTGAATTCCGAGAAATCAACAAGAGAAGTCATTGTTTACAAAGGCTGTTACGCCCGAGGGGGGCGACACATCTAAATCTTAATTCTAGATGCTCAAAAAATCTCACACTAACGAATCAATCTTCGAAAAATCATCTTTCATTTCTCGCATCTATTTGCATCGTACTTCATCTTTTTGCAGGAAATCTTCAAAATTGACATAAATCTTCCTTCTATCTACTCAGCGTGCGTGCAGCTAGCCACAGCAAAACACATCGTAGATAGAGTCGTCCCCCTCGGTTACACCCTAATTCCAGCTCTATCTAGATTCTTCTACTCCATTCACCATTTTCATATACCCTCTGCCAAAGATGGTCCTAAGCACGTGTCGTTCGAAAACTCCCAGTGCTCCTCGAGCATTGTCCATTGTCATATTTTTCATGCACAATAATTTTGTTTATTATATATTTGCAGTTCGTTTGCAGCAATTTTTGGAGCGATCCGTGAAGGGGAAGGCTTGCCACTTGTATATCCGAACAGTGGACCAAACAAGCCAGCAACCCCGTCCAAAGTGTCATGCATTATTGACAAATTGGCACAGTGGGTCGATTTAAAGGGAGATCTGGAGGCGCAGCGATCACATTGTCATGATTATCTGGTAGTTCACTCAAAAATGCTATAACAATCGCCAAGCTCGCTGTAATGTCACCAAGTGCCTCGTCACCTACAAATTGGCGCCTATGTCAGTGGTCTAACAACTCTTAGCGCGCTAATGGCATAGTTCCCCTGCCGCATAGAGAGTTGCCACAATGATATTATGTTAGCTAAGGTCAGTTAACTGACTGGTGGGAAACGGGAGCTTCAGCATTGACTATTATGTACGCATTTTTATTATGTTATCTAACAACAATGGTGTGTATAGTTTACACGATCATGTTTCTAATTCTAATGTGTTGTAAATATAATTGAAAGCATTTGAAAAGTAAGATTCTAGTGTTTTGTATATCTAAAAACATTAGTAAACATCTACATTTGAAAAAATTCAAACAACGTTTACTTTAAACGTTTTGTACATCTGAAAACATCAGAGAACAACAAACACGAAGTACAATTGAAAACATCCGAACAACGTTTAGTTCTAACGTTGTGTACATCCGAAAACATCCAAAAAAGTTTGGTTCCAGCATCGGGAGGCATCTACATTAGAAAACATCAGAAGACGTTTACATATAAAAACATCCGAAAACGTTTGATTCTTACGTTTTTTACATCTGAAAACCTCCAAAAACGTTTGTTTCTAACATCAGGAAACATCTACATTAGAAAACATCAGAAAACTTTTACATTTAAAAACATCCAAACAACGTTTAGTTCTAACGTTTTGTACATCTGAAAACATCCTTAAAACGTTTGGTTCTAATGTCAGTAGATTGAAATTTTTGACGTCAGACCGACATTAGAATGGCAAAATTTTGTTCCAAAATTTCTGATGTATACACCATGTTACGTTGCTTAAATACAACTAAATCATAATGTTTTCTAATGTTTGACATCAGACATACATTTAATTTCGATGCTGGTGTAGACATCAAAATCAAACGTTGGGCTAATGTAAATTTCTATTCGGGCAAGCAATATTTCCGATTTTAATATGGTTTTCAAGTCCATTCTAAGCCTTATAAACCGATGATAAAACCGTAAAATGTTGCTTGGGATGTGTAGTTAGCTGGCATCCACCACCGCGAACTTGTGGAACGAATGGTTACTGTACCAGGGAACAAACTTCTGCAATTAACCGATAATTGTGAAACTGAATTTAAAATAACAAATTTGATAGGTCACTCAGTTAAGTTGTTTAGGCTTTTTAAGTGGTTATATCGTGAAAATAGGGTAAAGACATAAACATTCGTTATGAGCAAAACTCTCCAGCGGACGGTTAACAACAATTGAAAGCTCTGTTGATGTTCTTTTCGATGCAGCCAACCACATCTGCACCTTCATGCAGCTAAGAAAGATACACACTTAATCTAGCTCGGTAAAATGTCCAACAGTCGATTACCTCGGCATTTACTTTTGCTGATATATCTGCAAAACATCTGTTTGTTAGCTGATATCTCAGCATAATGATATTTGTTTGCTGAGTCTCGGCAATTGTTTTACTGAATCTCAGCAAAATAAATTGCAGAACTACTCGGCTGTTGGAATCTCAGCGAAAAATTTTAAGTGTGTACACTAGACTGATGCAAAATTTGAAATTTTCACTCCACAGTGCTCAAACGATTTCAAATCAGGTCCTGATTAGTCTTCAAAATTGAAACTTATTTTATAAGAAACTGACTTGGCACAAACTCAGCTACAACTTTGTTGAAAACCAACTTTTCAATCAAATGTAAGGAACAAAAGTTATTAATGATTCAAGTCACTGATGTCTCATGATTATGCTCATTCAACTGTTCAGCAGGCAAAATTGGTGTTTCTGGTGCGAAGAATAGAGCACAAATATCATGGCTACTATGTCACACTGCAAGAGCGAAAATTTCAAATTTTGCATCAGTCTAGTGTACACACGTCGAAAATGTGATGAAAAAGGTGGAAAATGTAACAATAACTCATACAATTGAAATGATAGGAGTACAGTGCCTTTGAGGAAATCGTGCATTTTTATCCTACAAACAACTTTGTTGAACATTGTAAAGCTCTAGAAATTGAAAATAAATACATTCTGCTTTAAAAACTGTGTTTTGCGGTTCATTTTTAAACAAATGTTCTCTACATGGTTAAGGAGATCAACTCAAATTTGAGTTCAGTTTACTCATAATGCGTAGATTACTCAGCGCATGAGTAAGCTACGCTTTTAAAAATTTCTTTATACGAATGAGTAAAAGTGACTCACTCTCTGAGTAAGATTCGTTTTCAATGTACAACACAACAAACACTCCTGTAAAGAGTTGAGTTATGAAGTTCACATATTCACACATATCCGAACAAAAATGTCGTTGTCTCACGTCAACAATGCGCTCGTGTTTTGTACACCACCCTCAAACTTTTTTTTCTTTAGATATCAATTTTTTGACAGCTTCGAATAAATTTAAAAAAATGAGTACAGTAAACTCATTTTATGGGTAATTTTGAATTAGCGTGCAGCTCACGGTTCTATCAACCGGTGGCAATTAGCGATTTAAAATTGGCTCACTACTTGACTAGCCTATTGGTTCCAGGCAAACGATTAACGTACCCCATTCTAGTCGAAATTCAAGCACCGACGTTCTATCCTCTACAAATTCATAACACTTTCGACCATTGATTGCATTATTCAAGGTTACGGCAGGTTCCACGTATATCACGTCGGGTGATGACACTACTTTGCATTTCAATTCACCTACCTGCTTGGCTTGGGATTACGTAAGCTCCTTCATATACATTCTATCGCCTATGGTCTACTGCACTTGCAGCGACCAGTCGTAACGATGCAACCGTCCGGCTTGCTTGGATTGGCAGTGTTCGCAGCTATCGTCCGCTTGACGAGGGCCAGCGACAGTGATGCCGCCAATCGAATCGCTACCTTGAGTTAGTGTTCTGGAAAATCTACGATTAATCATTCTGGTGTTATCCTTTTGTTTTGTTTTAGAATGTCAACACTATCTGGACATGGTTTCGATCCCACACGAAATCATGACCCTGGAGATGGATTCCCGCGTCCGGAAGGTGTTCAGCGTGCATTGTCCGCTGCACAATCCGTACGTCGTTGGCGGCAGGCGGGTCGCGAAGCACGAGTTTCCGCACATGGTTGCCCTCGGCTTTCTAGGATTTGGTCGAGGTACTACTGGAGTGTACGTGTTCGAGTGTGGTGGAACGCTGATTAGTGAACAGTTTGTCCTGACGGCGGCGCACTGCATCAACAATGACCTGATGATCGTTCGAGTGGGAGTGGTGGACCTGAACGATTTGGAGGCCGAGGATTTCCGCATCGAGGAGATGATCGTTCACAAGGACTACTCTCCGGAAACCAGGTACGACGACATAGCTTTGCTCCGGTTGAGTCGGAACGTGACGATATCACTTCACGTGCGGCCAGCTTGCTTGGGTACCGATCGAACGGAGCGTATTCACAGGGCTACGGTCACCGGATGGGGGAAATCCAGCCAAGGTAAGTAGAGGAGATTGTGGGTGCCCGATGCCTGATGGACTGATTTTTCGCGTAGATTCGTACCTTTCCGACAAGTTGGGGAAGGTGTCCTTGGATGTGCCTACCGATCGGAGGAGGTGTGCCCGGATGTACCGGGGCGCTGGCCAGAGTCCACTGATTGATCGACAGATCTGTGCCGGCTCGTTGGAGGGTAATCAGGACGCTTGTCACGGCGATTCCGGAGGACCGCTGCAGGTGTTCGAGGAAGGCGAGTGTCGCTACCACGTGGTCGGGGTGGTTTCCTATGGGAAAATCTGCGGCTCGGCAGAGTACGGACTGTACACGAGGGTTTCGCGGTATCTGGAGTGGATTGTCGAGACCGTATGGCCGAATGAGTGGACAGACAAGGAACATTGGGAAAGCTGGTAGAATGGGGGGGCTTGATGTGTTTTATTTGGTTGACTTGGTCCAGATTGCTATTTCTTGAGGCCATTATATAATATCCACCACCTACGTACGTACAAGCGTGCGCAACTACCGTTTTGTTTTCATTGCGTTCAAGTTCAATGCACCTGCACCAGCGATCATCACCTGTCCCATGATTCACGTTACGATCATGCATTTCTAATGTCGTTTTCGTTTTTGCTACACTACACCGGTGTAGTGTAAGCAGCAATAAGCGCAAGTCATTGACAGCTCATCATCATTTCTTTGTAAGCAAACGCGCAACCGATAGGTACACCCTGAATTTGTTCGGTGTTCGGCGGTGTAACACCGGTGTAGCTACACCGCAAAAACGAAAACGACATAAGTCAATGGTAAAGCCCCTTCCGCAAACTCTATCGCAAAAAACCGGTTGATTAAAATATGTAAACACCGGCTCCCCATGGGAAACCACAATCAATCATTCGGTTGTGGTGGATAAGCCTCTTCGCCAGCTGCGATTGGGTCCCCTCCGCAGTAGCAATAGCAAATGCAAAGTGACAGCTAATGAGCGCTCTCCAGTCAGCATTGTGATTGTTGATTTGTTTGCACAAACCTACGGTGATCGACGCCAGGCTGTTTTGAAGACTGCTAGTTGATCTTCGCACAGGCAATCTTCCTTCTTTCGCTGCGATCGTCTGTGATGGAGGCCGCGACCGCGTAATCCACCGCTTCGCGCTCGCTCGCCGATGACGCTAAAATTCGACAGACACGGAGAGGAAAACCAGCTTTACAGCCTCAATCGAAGATCAGTTTTCATTCAGTTGTTGACTGCGAGCTGCGAAATAAACATCCGTTTTTTTTTGCGCGGCGGCAGGGTGTTAATCAGTCAGTTGCTCGCTCTGTCGGTAGATAATTCGAAACGATAGAATAGGTAGCAAACGTTGAGGCTACTCCTTACCTATATCTTTGCCGGCTCGTTGGTTTGTATTGTTTACGGTCATACGGAGGAGGTTGTTTGTTTTTTTTTTGTTGTTTTTATTGAGTGAGGTGAAGTAACTAAAGTGCCCGATACGATGCAGGCTGGATCACTATTTGGATTGTTGGTCGTTTGGAGCTGCCTGGTGGCAACAAGTGCCTTGACAGGTAAGTTATATGAGCAGCAGCTATCCTAGTGACCGTTGAAATCGAAGTAACGAGGCTAATTACGAGGCTAATGATGCAATCGAAGCTGTGTTCCATTTGATGAATTTTCACTTAAATTTGACACTTCGAACATAAATTATAATGTTCGAAAATCCCTCGGTTGTTGATCGTCAGATTTTCGAGAAAGTGTTTGTCAAATTTGATTCCTGTTCGGTCAGAAATAAGTCTGGTACAATAGCAGGTTTATTTGAAATTGTTCCATCTGTCAAATTGAAGTGAAAATTCATCAAATGGAACACAGCCTAAATATAAAATTAGACAGACTGCGGTAATGAGTAATGTAAATATTCAACGTTTGATTTCTTATTTTCTGCTAACGGACGGCATTCGTTAATTGAAAATGAAACACATTTGTTATGTTAAAATGGTTGAAGCACTTTTGAAACAGATTGATATTTTAATGTTGCTGAATGTTGACAGATAAGAGTTCTTCAACTGGACGGAACAGATAAGTCTTACTAACGGCGAATATTCAGTCCTATTCTGCGAGTCGTGTGACTCTCTGTTACTAGTGAGGTGACAAAAGTCACGCCGTGTGAGGTGGCTCTTCATTTTATTTGCACGGAGAGTCATCTCACATTACGTGACGTTTATCACCTAGCTAGTGACAGAGAGTCACACGACTCACAGAGTAGGTCTGATTGAGCGTATACATAACGGAGGTTATCTTCACTTGTGACTAAAGTCACTGCGATTCTCGGAATAAACCCCAACATTTTCCTAAATTTAAATCCCAGTTTTTCCGTCGCATCAATTGGGTTCTTTAATTTTGAAAAAAATATACATCTAGACTAACAATTAAAATAGGCTTTAGATCGAGGGGGACGAAAGTAATCCATTCTATATATCTGTTAATTTAACTAAAATTTGCTAAATAATTCAGAATTTTTGGATAAACTTGATTCATAATGAATAATAACACGCGCCTGCCGATAACATCCGATTTCATCCACTATTCTTCGATAAAGGGTGATACGGTCAAAATTTGGTCAAGGGAAAACGCGTGTAAATCGGTGAAATCGTTTATTTAAAAAATCAAATTAAATTTCTTTTTCAAGTTCAATTAGTATAAAATTCAGGAAAAATATTCAGTTAGGCTTCCGCTTTTCCAAATCCGAATTGCCGGGCCTTACGCTTGACCCCTGCCATCAGATTTTGTACAGCCACCTTGTCCACCTTCTTCGCCGCAGAAAGCCAGTTTGCCTTGAACTGCTGCTCGCCCTTAGCAGTTTTTTTGGTCTTCTTTAGGTTCCGCTTGACAATAGCCCAGTATTTCTCAATTGGGCGGAGCTCTGGCGTGTTGGGAGGGTTCTTGTCCTTGGGAACCACCTGCACGTTGTTGGCGGCGTACCACTTCATGGCCTTTTTACCGTAATGGCAAGATGCCAAATCCGGCCAAAACAGTACGGAACAACCGTGTTTCTTCAGGAAAGGCAGCAGACGTTTATTCAAACACTCTTTCACGTAAATTTCTTGGTTGACAGTCCCGGAAGCTATGAAAATGCTGCTTTTCAAGCCACAGGTACAGATGGCTTGCCAAACCAGATATTTCTTTGCGAACTTTGACAGTTTCATGTGCTTGAAAACATCTGCTACCTTTCCCCTTCCTTTTGCCGTATAAAACTCCTGTCCCGGAAGCTGCTTGTAGTCGGCTTTGACGTAGGTTTCGTCGTCCATTACCACGCAGTCAAACTTCGTCAGCATCGTCGTGTATAGCCTCCGGGATCGCGCTTTGGCCGTCGTATTTTGTTTATCATCGCGATTTGGAGTCACTACCTTCTTGTAAGTCGATAGTCCGGCTCGTTTTTTGGCTCGATGCACGGTTGTAGCTTATTTGCGGCATCTCGGAGAGAGAGGTTAGGGTTTCGCTTGAAACTACCGGCAACTCTCTTTGTCGTCTCAGCGGCTTCCGGTTTTCGATTTCCCCCCGATCCAGACTTCCTGGCTGTCGACAAACGTTTCCCAAACACTTTAATTACATTTGTAACGGTTGATTTGGCAACTTTTAGCGATTTTGCCAATTTTGCGTGCGAGTAGCTCGGATTTTCGCGATGCGCGAGCAAAATTTTGATACGCTGCTCTTCTTGCTTGGACGGCATTTTGACAACTGAAGAGTGAATTCCAAAATCAAAATAGGAGCAACATTCTACACACACACACCTTCAAAATGAGGGGTGTTCAGGTTTTTTAAATGCAAAATTGAAAGAAATACGTCAAGTTGATATTGACCAAATTTTGACCGTATCACCCTTTAAGTCAGAATTAAGTGTCATGTCGGTTTGTCGGTGGTGATTCGTCACCCCCTGGTTGTGAGTAATGTCAAAAGTTAAGCAGAGTACCACAGAACAGAAGGTGAAGTGCAAACAAATCGGTGAATCAAAAAGTGGTTCGTTTTTCTGCTCAACAAGCGATGTGTTGTGGTTGTTCCACACGGACTTTCTATGTGCACTCATAGCATGCTGCCTATCTTAACTGCAAGCAGAAGATGCCTTCTACCGCTAGGTGCGCTAGCGTTCGCAAATGACAAGTGGAGCCACTTTCCAGCGGCGTTTCCTTAACCTCAATCTACCTGTGCAACAACTCTCAAAACATAAACAATTATCAAAATATTTCTTGCACTGGATAGATATTGAGTAAACTAGAAGATTAAGTGTATTTTTCAACCGATTCGAGTATGAATATGGTATTAAATCTGGCTTTGAAAGTTTGTGCACAGGTAAAAAGTGAGGTTACGCGACGCCACTGCCACTTTCTGATCCGAAGCTCCACTCCTGTGAGAGTACCCACACTGCAAAGCTCAGCATAGAGATTGCTTACGTTTATCGTACGCACACTACGTCACGTATACGTATACGCAAAATGTTTTCATCTGGGAAAAAAAAAAACTTTGCGGGCCTCCGTCCGATGCTGACGCATCCAACCACACAGCCGAGAACCACCTGAACCTCTTTTCGCCCGTTGGAACATCCCTGCCTCTGGTGGGGCTCCGTCTCATTCGGATCGTTTTTCGAGCCCATCAACAGCTACAGCCGCTACATCAACGCCCTGGACTATTGGATCCCCCCCCCCCCCGCCTGGATACCGCGGATCTCCTTCTGACATGGACACCACGAGCGACGCAGCGGGCGACGCGGACGACTTCGACGCCTCGGATCGTTATGATATCCGGCACTCCGCTAATCTGAGCCACGAAAGTGTCGACTCGGCAACCGCCTTTCCGAAGCCAGCTTTACCGGAGCCCGTCAACTCTCTGACTCAATTGAAAATAAATGAGTATCTCCAGCACGATATTGACCAGCCTGATGTCCCCTGGATAATCGCTCTACAAGAGGTCAACAAAGTCACAACCGACTAATTAAATCGTTCGCTGGGAGGGAGATACGATTTGAGTTACAAGCGCTGCGCCAATTTCAGGCACTCCGTGGCCATCGGGGTGCTTAGGAGCATTCCACACGAAGTTCTTGACCTCCAAACTGACCTGCCAATCGTCGGCGTCCGCCTTAAGAACGCCGCTAACTTAGCTATCGGCTGTGCGTACCTGCCCTGCGGACGGATAGCCAATCTGGATAGAGACTTAAGTGCAGTTATTTCCAAGTTTCCGGAACCGCGGCTTTTCGTCGGCGACATCAACGGGCACCATCCGGACTGGGGCAGCCCTCACCCAGATCCCAGAGGTTCTATCCTGGCGAGCATTTTTGAGAGAGAGGACTTGGTGGTGCTGAACGATGGCGCTCCCACCTTTTTTAATGGACGGCACACTACCGCGATCGACATTGCCACTGCCAGCCGATCTATAGTGGACAGGGCACAGTGGAATATCAGTACCGACCTGCACGGTAGTGACCACTACCCGATCCGCATACCGCTTTCCGTAGGTGCGGTTCCCCCAACGACTCGGAGACCCAGGTGGCGCTTCGAGGAAGCCGACTGGGACGCCTTCAGGGAGAAATCCGACGCTCTCTTTCAGCAACGCGAACCGAACGACATCTCCTGCTTCACGGAAGTACTCTACGACGCTGCAACACTATCCATCCCAAGGACTAGTAGCGTACCCGGGCGAAAAGCCCTACGTTGGTGGAACGAGGATACCAAATGTGCGGTAAAAGCGCGACGCAAAGCCTTACGCCGGCTTAAGCGCCTAGCCTTAGACGATCCTGGTAGGGGGGAAGCGCTGAAGGTCTACCGAGAACGCCATCTCTCGTGCAGACAGGTGATCCGTGGCGCAAAGCGATCCAGCTGGATGGATTTCCTGGATTCAATCGACGAATCCCAATCGTCGAGCGACTTGTGGAATCGCGTCAACGCTCTAAGTGGCAAGCGGCGGTCTACTCCACCTACTATCCAAGCTCATGGCACCACGATCTCAGAACCGAAGGACATCGCTGACAATTTAGGGAACTCAGTGGCTACGAAAGCGATTTCGTCCAGCGCGTCAAACCTTCCACAAGCAGCATTCGTGACCTGCGAATTCCACCCGATGTCCCTTCCCTCCAGATCAACGATGCTCTTACCTTCCGGGAGCTTCAGTTTTCCCTCGGCAGCAGTACTGGTAAATCTGCCGGGCCGGACGAGATTGGATACCCGGTGTTTAAAAAACTCTCCCTCGACGGAAAAACTAGGCTACTCGCCCTCTTCAACGACCTATGGCTCACTGACTCGTATCTGGACCTCTGGAAACAAAGCCTGGTAGTGCCCATTCCGAAGAACAACGCGGCGAGTGGAGAAGCCTCCTCGTTTAGGCCGATTGCGCTCACTTGCTGCGCGGCAAAAGTGATGGAGAGAATGGTAAATCGTCGACTTAGGCAGTTCCTGGAGTCTAACAGTCTCCTTGACGAACGGCAGCATGCATTCCGGCAAGGACATGGCTCCTCCACTTACTTTGCAGCCCTCGGGAATGTACTCAAAGAAGCCCAGGACAACGGTCACCATGCGGAGTTAGT